AAAATTACAAGAGTTATTAAAATGATCGGAAAAAAAGTTCCATAGTACGGCACCTCCACACTGCATGGGGCATGTTTCATAAAATTTGTAGAAAATCGTGAAACAACAGCCTTATTATTTCCCCTTAGGTTATATGGACTCTCTCTCCAAGTAACTAAATTCTGCATCAAATAGGGTGTGTTGTCACAGGCAATGCTATAAAAGAATTTCACAAGACTTAATTTATACGTATCATAAAGTAAGTCCCACTGTGTAACTTCCATGACTGTTTCCGATGGTGTATCCCAAGGCAAATTAAAAATTATCTTTCCAGCTCTGCAGTGCAACGCTTGCAGGGATATAATGTGGTCACAGTTATTGCAATTTGCCTAGGGTAATTCCGTAAGTCAACGAAGGGAGAATCGTCTGGAAATATAAGTCTAGAAGAGATTTTCTTCTCAGGAAAGAGCACTTTCTTAGCAAGTTAATTGAGATTGTTGAAAAAGTTTTTCTTTAATTCTGTAAGATGCTTTGTCCACGTAAGCTTGTGGTCTTTTGTAATGCCCAACAGCCCTGCGTGACATACCCATGAAATCGTTTCATTACCAATGACGATCACTGGGTATGGACCAATGAATGATCCTACGTAGAAGCTTTGTAACTTTTGTAACTTTATTTGATTTACCACAAAATACGAATAACGATAAAACAAGACAGTTACACAAAAGCAAATGAAAGTGGCGAGGAAGCCCAAAAAGAAACCATGAGGCTTATAGACATTGGGCTCCCTCAGAGTAAACAGTAAGGCCAGGATCGAAAGTAAAATACAATGAACGTAAGTAAAAATTAACTAATTACATAGACTGAGTTGACAAAATGTAAGGTATGGTACATGTAACAATAAGTATAAAAATAATATCAGACATGTGAAGAAATATAACTATTTACTACAAGATTTATAACTAATAATTCATATATAATTTTTTTTTCAATTTCGTTTTGAATAAGTGGAGAGAATTAGATTCTTTAATATCATGTTCTATAGAGTTATAATAAGTAGGTCCTTGGAAACTGACAGAAAATTTACGAAGGTTTGTTCTACGAAAAGGAAGGCGAAAATCGTTCGCGTGTCTAATGGCATAGCTATGGACTTGTTTGTTTAAAGAAAAATAATTGTTGAAATTTGAAGGCCAAAGAGAATGGTTAAGAGAAAACATAAGTTTACCCAATTCTAGTTGTCTAATATCGGAAAGTTTTAGTAGCTCTAATTCTTTGAAAATAGGGTCTGAATGAGAATCGAAAGTTGATTTAGAAATAATTCTGATAACTCGCTTTTGCAAAGAGGCAAGACGGCGAAGATTGGTTTTGTACGTAGATCCCCAAACAATAATACAATAATGAAGATAAGGATAAACTAAACAATAATAAAGAGTTTTTAGACACGGTTTAGGTAGAAAAAATCTTGCTCTATTAATGACACCTATTGATTTCGAGATTTTACGAGCTACATGAGAAATGTACGGTTTCCAAGATAGATGTTCATCAAGGACTACACCGAGGAAGACCGTTTCCTTAACATGTTCGATTCTCTGTTCATTTATGCATATTTGCATTGGAAAATGATACCTTTTCTGTCTAGGCTTGAATAACATAAAGTTTGTTTTCTTCAGGTTTAAGGAGAGTTTGTTTTCCTTAAACCAAGTGGATAATTTATTAAGTTCGGAATTGAGTGAGGCTGCCAGGTAGACAGGATCTTTATGGGACATAAATAAATTGGTATCATCAGCGAATAAAATCACTGAACAGCACTGCTTCACGTTCTGCTGAGTGTGGTGTTAAAGAGTTGGCCATGCACCATTTGTTAAGTTCATCGAGGGCTTTGTTCGGTAGACTGCATGCTTCATCAACAGTCGATCCAATACAAAACTGTAAATTCCCAATCGCCAGCGTACAGGTATAGGGTGCTAGAAACCACACTCGCTGGCTTGTCATTGGTGTACAACCTAAACAAAACTGGACCCAGAACCGATCCTTGAGGGGTACCGCAGGTCACGTTCAGTTCACCGATTGAGTATAACTTATAACTTTATTTGATTTACCACAAAATACAAATAACGATAAAACAAGACAGTTACACAAAAGCAAATGAAAGTGGCGAGGAAGCCCAAAAAGAAACCATGGGGCTTATAGACATTGGGCTCCCTCAGAGTAAAAATAAAGTTAACAGTAACAGTAAGGCCAGGATCAAAAGTAAGATACAGTGAAGGTAAGTATAAATTAACTAATTACATAGACTGAGTTGACAAAATGTAAGGTATAGTACATGTAACAATAAGTATAAAAATAATATCAGACATGTGAAGAAATATAACTATTTACTAAAAGATTTATAACTAATAATTCATATACATTTTTTTTTTCAATTTCGTTTTGAATAAGTGGAGAGAATTAGATTCTTTAATATCATGTTCTATAGAGTTATAATAAGTAGGTCCTTGGAAACTGACAGAAAAAATAAGAAGGTTTGTTCTACAAAAAGGAAGGTGAAAATCGTTCGCGTGTCTAGTGGCATAACTATGGACTTGTTTGTTTAAAGAAAAATAATTGTTGAACTTTGAAGGCAAAAGAGAATGGTTAAGAGAAAACATAAGTTTACCCAATTCTAGTTGTCTAGAGTAGAGTTCACAATTGTAATTTGTGACCGATGATTTAGGTAATCGGTGATCCAAGATAGGAGAAATTGCCCTCAATCCCAAATTTATGCTTCAATTTAAGAAGTAGGATACTCCATAGGATACATGAGAGACACAAGGAAGGCTTTGCGGAAATCTACGAAGGCTGTGGCAACTACTAAATTGTTATCAATAGCTTATCTCCAGGATTCCGTGAGATGAGCAAGTAATAATTGCGTCGAATGGCCCTTGCGGTAGGCCCATTGCCTCTAAGTGAGAAGTCCGTTTTCCACGACATGACCTAATGTTGTGTCAGATACACAAGATTCTAAGATTTTACTTGGCACGCTAATTAAGATATAGGCCTATAATTACTTCTGTCAGCTGGATCGTCCTTTTTAGAAACTGGGCACAAGTGAGCTATTTTCCATTGTTTAAAAACTTCACCATTGTTGACACTTGTCGAGTATAGCTTGGTGAGTGATAGGACTACCGCAGGCTCAGGTAACAGCAATAATTTAGGGGGTTATTCCGTCTGGCCCACTGGCCTTGTTAGGTTTAATGGCCTTGATTTTTCTGGATATGGACTCCTCCGAAATTGAGAAGGTAGAAATTGTTTGTCTCAGTGTAGGATCATGTCCTGTTTCTACTAGTGGACAGACGGTGTTTCTTGAAAGGCTAGTTCCTACTGTAGCAAAGACGGTATTTATCGGGTTTGCTTTTTCTTCGTCAAGTACAGCGAGAGTATTATATTCCCGTCTTATTGGGCTGTTACACGGGTGATCTTTTAGAGGACGGGTAGCTGCAAACTAAACTGAACGCAGGGTTGTCGGAACAGCAACAAGAAGATTTATTCCAAAAATGAACGTAGTTTCCACTGAGTAAAACTCCACAACACCACGTAACTCGTTAAACTTACACGGCCTCCGCCAACTTCAATTAACTTGATAAACTTACACGGCCTCCGCCAACTTCAATTAACTTGGTAAACTTACACGGCCTCCGCCAACTTGAATAAACACGTCTTCGTCACACTTGACTAAACACGACTAACGTCAAACTCTCTTCGCTTGTGAAAACTAGTTCCGACGCGGATCTACGATAACTAATGACCGATTTCCCAAACCGAGCGCCGATAGCGCAAGCTTTCAGGGGAGTCCGGGGGCATGCTCCCACGGGGAATTTTTCGGATTTTAACTCCCTAAAGTCCTCTTTCCTGGTTTTCCGATTCATCCAGACAGGATATTGGCTAGATTTCAACTTGGAAAGTTTTTATATTAAAATATAGTTTATTAAGAAAAATCCGACCGATTTTCGTTAAACGGTGGAAACCGGTGTGGATCCGCGCCTGTTGTTAAAACTTAACTCGAGCTTGCCTACTTATATACTTTTACAATAAAGTTCTAGAACATTCCAATAGTCTAATTATAGAAAGATTACAAAATATACTGACTTTAGAAACGCTTACACAAGATCCTAAAATAAACAAACTGCGAACTCTCGCGAAGCTTCTAGAAAGTCACGCTAGTCACGCAATACAATTTTTCGTAACATGGGCCAATCTCGGGTCTCCTCTTTGGATACGTTGCTTCGGAGAGTACTTTCAAGTACGCAGCAGTGGACTTCGCCGAATCAGTGTTTTCGCGGAAAAAGCTTGCTTTCGCACATGTCTTGAGTTGTTATTTCATTTCGGACCTTTTTGTACTTAGCCCAGGCTGTTACGTCCTTGGTGCGCACGGCGGACGTAAAGAGCTTGTACCTATAACTCATCTTTCTTCTTATTTCGTTAGTTATCCATGGGTTGCACTTGCTACGGATTTTTATCTTTTTAAAACCTACGTGTTTATCACATACTTCATTGAACATCAAGTTCCACGCCCATTGCATATCGTCTTTATCTTCGAATAGATCAGAAACATGGAACAGTGCGCATGAGACGTCTGCTTGGAATTACTTAGCACTGAAATGTTTGAAGTGAAGACATTTTCAAAAACATAGACACCCAGAGCAAAGAAAATCAAAAGGAAAGGCTTCACATTGACAAAGGAAAACTGGAGTATTGACCACTGCAAAGTGATCTGTCTTAGTAAAGCAATGAAAAATAATGCGGCAGTCAATAGTTCATGCTTTGTAGAGCAGATTAACAATCCTAGCTAAGAGGATATTTGTCAAAATGTCAAAAAATGCAACCAGCTCTGTTTGATTGGTTGATAAATAAATATTAATATTTAGTCTTTCTCAAGGCAGTAGCTAGGGTGCGTTCTCTCAAAACGCCGCTGCCTGTTAAATCGCTAACAACAAGGACAAAGAAGCTTGCAGGATTTCCACCTTTGTTCCCCCATCTTTTCCATGGATGTAAAGACCTTGCTGGACAATCTTCATGATGAGTTATCCTGTTCTGTGTGTATGTGTACATACACTGATCCAAAGCAGTTGCCTTGTTTGCACAGTTTCTGTCTCAACTGCCTGAATGGCATTCAACGAACGAGCGGCGTCCATGGCAAAATTACATGCCCCGAGTGCAGGAGACAGTTTGAGATCCCTGGAAGTGGAAATCTCAGCGTACTTCCCACCAATTTTCGCATAAACAGTTTGTTAGATGTCTTGGCAATTAAAGAGTGCAGTACAGCTAACGTAAAATGCGGAAACTGTGACAAGCGGAGCGCCCAAACCTTATATTGCTTCCAGTGTTGTTCTTTCTGGTGCGAAGAATGTATCTCAGGACATAACATAATACGCACCAATAAAGAACACAAAACACTGCTACTGAAAGATTTTCAAGATCAAGACATCGAGGCCGTGTTAAAGCGACCAGCATTTTGTCAGAAAGAACTTCATGACAAAGAGGAGTTGAAATTCTTTTGCAAAGATTGTAAAGTCGCCATTTGCAACACTTGTGTTGTAACACTTCACGAAGGCCACGGCAAAATGCTCTTGAAAGAAGCTGCAAATGCCCGAAAGACACAAATTAATTACATGACTAAATCCTTAAAAGATAAAGCACTGGAGAAACAAAAGGAACTCGAAAAATTCAACCAAAAGAGCATGGAAGTTCTAGCTCATGTAGCCGACGTAAAAAGCCAAGTACAGACGGATGTAGACCAAATTATTTCAATCATCGAAGCGAGGAAAAAGACTGTTTTTGATGCGGTCGATGAACAAGCGAAAAAATCACTTGAAACACTCTCACAGAAAAAAGGCAAAGTTGAAAATCAAGTGAAAATAATTGAATCAGCAATTGAACAAACTGAATCTCTGATGAAACGAAACTTTAGTACAGAAATCCTTGGATTCAATGAAACATTTGATAAAATCCTAGAGGAACAGGAAAGCCAAGGAAACCGTGATAATGAATGTATTCCTCGGTTTAGTTTCACCAAAAGTGAAAAATTGAGTAACGTGTTAAACAGTGAAGGTATAGGTAATGTAAAAACTGTTTTTAGCGAAACTAAATCGCAACAATCAGAAGCCAAAGGTAAAGAAAGTAGTAAAGTAATTAGTGGGAATGAAGGGGCAAATGTTCCCGACAGTCCTCTTAAGGCTCACTTACAAACCAGGAGTTATAGACCTGTGCTGTCATTTGGACAAGAAGGTAAGTCTATTGGAATGCTTAAATATCCCTTGGGGGTGGCAGTGAACGATCGTGATGAAATTGCTGTGACTGAGCTCTGCAACAGCAGAGTTTCAGTGTTTAGTAGCGACGGTACCCACTTAAGATCGTTTGGTAGGGAGGGTCAGAAAAATGGTGAGTTTAAACAGCCTTCAGGGATTGCTTTTGATAGTGTTGGCAATATTGTAGTGGCAGACTGTTATAACCACAGGGTGCAACTCTTTGATAGAAATGGTAAGTTTCTTCGTAAGTTTGGCAAATATGGAACTCTTCACAAGCTTAAAAACCCTGAAGGTTTATCAATAAACGGCAACGGTCATATTGTTGTTACTGACAGAGAAAACAAATTAATCAAGATATTCACTTCTAGTGGGGAGTATTTAAGAAAATTTGGTGGAGCAGGGGCTTTGGTTGAACCCTATCACTGTATCCAACACAGTCAATATTTTATAGTCTCAGACTATGGTGACGATTCCATTAAAATGTTTGATCTCGAGGGAAAGTTTATTTCTAAATTTGGAAAACAGGGGAACAAGGATGGAGAGTTTAATGAGTCCTGTTATTTGTCAATTAACAAACAAGGATTACTAATGGTCTGTGATGCAGGGAATCACAGGGTTCAGGTATTTGAACTGAGTGGAAAGTTTGTTACAAAATTTGGAAGTGAAGGTAGCGGGAAAGGCGAGTTTAATTATCCAGTTTCTACAGCAAGTCTTAGTGATGGAAGAATAGTCGTGAGTGATGTGAAAAACGATCGAATCCAGATATTTGACCAAATATGATATGATCTTATCAATAGAAATGCAGTTACTTAAAGTGTGATCTACTTTTGATCTACAATTACTCATGTTTCCAGAAGAAAAACATTTTCGACGTAGTTTAGTTTCTTGAACTTTCATGCATACATTAAAGCAATAAAACCCTCGACTAAGAACCTGGTTTTTACGAACGTGTAAGGTAAGCTTAAAATTTGAAACAGGTTCTTTAGTTAAAATCTACAAACATAAATTTTGAATACTTGGACAATATTCAGGATCCTCTTTGGAGACATTGTGTGCTTTATTATTCCAAATGGCAATTTGTAATGGCATTTACAGTCTTACCTAGGCAACAAGCTGAATATACCACTTAATACTCTTAGCTACAAGGGATGTTTTTCTTTTAGAAAATAACATCCCACTTAAGAACCTAGTAAAATAGTCTAAATTTGTTGTAATTAACATTTATGCAAGAACCTGTTTAGGCTAACTTGGGATAATGCAGACTCAGCTTCGGGCAGGTTTTTATACTGCAGGATACATCTCTTGTTGTTGCTGATTTCTCTCAGCTGACCTTACTCATATTATTATGTACAAACTTAACTCAGGGAAATTGCGGGTCAATGGCCTGTTTTTTGAAAAGTCCCGAGAATGTTTCGGGCCTTAAAAGCTGTTTTTATGCTTGCTGCGTTTGCATTTGATTAAAGTGTCAATAACTTTGAAGATGATGCAATGAAAGTATCAGTTAACAAAGCAAAATTGACCGGTTTGTTAGCTCGGACGGAACAGTGCTGCTATAAATTCAACAGGTTTTGACTTCAAAATTTTTTTGGACCCAAAAAGTTACTGGGCCTTTCGAAAAACGGGTCGCAGGAGTATTCGATTGGTAGATATATTTAACAGGAGGATTTTCATTTTTAACACATTTTAACTTGTTCAATAGCAAAACCAGCCTCTGGTTCACATTTTTGTACTAAACTGCTCAGACAGAAGTAGACCAGTTTCAGGCTTTTTACTTACTTTTCTAGTAATATTAAATGGTAGGCTTGATACTTTCAAAAGAGCACAGAGTTTCTCGGATGCGTTTTAGTGTGTATCATTTTTTCATCTACTTATTAAACAATGGACCAGTGTATTTGTTTTAATTTGTAGTTACTTGTATAATGTGTGCCAATATGTAGAACAATAGAGTGCGAACAATAGTTTAATTTTCTCCAGAGAATCAGTAGGGTACAATCGGCGAGTTACAAGTCATGAGACGTCATGAGAATCGAGTGAGATCAGTCTTGTCGGCCGATGTTTTCGCTTCTTGCCTGACACTCGTGTGCTACATGTTCTATCTCCTTAACTTTTGACTGAAAGTTAGAAACTGCTGGCAATTTATTACATGACAAAAGATTATTAAAAAGTGTAGATTCTGAATGTGTGAAAATTATAAGCATAACATTGTTCTTGACATTAATCACAAGCTCGCAGGTCTGCTCCCACCTAAAGCTGAGCACAGTAGGCAGCTGCGCAGCAATAGAAAGTTTAACGTGCCAGTGTGCAAGACTGATCGTCTTAAAAAATCTTTTATTGTTAGCCATAGCCTAAGAATGTAAATAAATTTGTTCAAGTATGTATATTTTCCTAACACAAGGTTATCCTAAGTGAAATGTTTTTGTTAGATTTGTACATTTTTATTATTATAGTTTTTTAAATCCATTTTAACTATAACTTGTATATTATACACGTAATTCAGTCTTCGGACTGCGAGGTGTTTCTTTTTTTAATAAACGATTTATCTATCTATCTATCTATCTATCTATCTAAGCCACCACAGCCATTACCTAATGATATAAGAACTATTAAAAAAATACTTTGTATCAATCGTAGTGTGATGGCTATTATGCTATAATATAAGCGTAATGATGTAATACATGTGAATTTGTAATAAACGTCAATTCGCATTTTAATATTTGCTTGGTTTGTCTCACTGATAAAATTTTACCCTCGTGTCTTACCTGCCCTTACAGATTTCAGGGACACCCAACGGAAAATTTTGAGAAAAAGACCTATAAACAACAACAAAGCATGAATAAATCTTTCTGAAGCCATTTTAAGCATTTTGAGAGATGGCTGGGGAAAATTTGTCTGTTCTTCACTCCCACCAAGACTCAGTAAAAGAGATCCTAGCCAGCAAGGTGCACCTACGACCTGCAACCTGACATACTGGCAAGTTTCCTAGCAGACGCATTGTGCAGACATCACCGGCTAGTTTGGGTGTGGTCCAAGGGCAAAATTAACATCTTCAGTGATGGGGAAAAGAGATAAAAAATAATACATAGCAGCTATTATACACATCAAATCCCCTCAGACACCCTGAATTCTCCTTTTCATAGCAACACTCTCCTTCCAAAGACATATCCTTTCTTCCACATCTCCAAGCCAGGAAAAATTTTCCTGAAGAACAGGTATTTTGAGGAACAGATCCATTGGGTGTCCATGAGATAAAAAAACAAAAACAACAAAATTGATTGTACTTCTTAAAAGAAAGTACAAGGCTAGATCGATAGGACGATAAAATTTTCATTCAAAAATTCCCTGTCAAAATTACGTGACCAGTTTGGCTTGTATCTAAGCCCTGTCTAACCGAATCACGTTGATTCTTCAAGTTCTCTTGTAACATTTCAAATGAGCTGATGCTACAGGGGCGTGGCCAGCTTCTCTAGTAAGGGAGCCAACGGCATAACCTCGAGAGTTTTGCACAATCCTCATGCAAAGACCAAAATATTAATCCTTCGGCTGTTAATCCGCGGTTAAAAAGCCAAAGGGAAATCCGGTACAAAATCTGAAAACAAAGAGTCTGTTGGCGAGGGCATTTAGGAGCGTTGTTCAATGTTAATGCTACTAAGAGTGGAGTGGTTGAAGGGTGAATTAACCTGCGATCAGGCGGTCCTCTTCCCTTTTTTGCTTTAGAGGCGAGGGGAAAAGGACGCCGT